GTTAAAAATCCAAGTTGTCAGGCTGCCATTTTGTTATATGGAGCTTATAAATTCTCCGTGGTGATGAGCAGAGCTTGAAGATACTGCCAGGTAATTCATGGAATTCATGTGTGTTGATGTGAAATCAACTCATCAGAACTGGAATCTCAACTGATTTCACACAGAAATTATTTACATAATGACAGACAGCACTTCAGGTCCTGCAGAAAGAATACAGAATTCATCTGGCATACCGCCGACATCGGCCAATCTGGAAGCCCTAGTCAAACAGTAAGCAAGTGGAACATGTGCCAAGGCAACATATCCACACCAGTGTCACGCTGGCTTTGTCATGCCAACATGGGAACACCATTAGACACCTTTCTATTCTTGATGGTCAAGCACAGAATTCGAGAGGACTAACTTTAGAACATTATTCTCTTGATCTAGTTATACTGCTAAAATTGTGTGTGTGGTTTGTCTAAATCTAAATACATTGTTTATTTAATAAAACCTACCTGAAAATCCAGACTTTAGCAAGGTTTCACTAAAGGAAGTTTTCAGCAAAACAAGGAATTCATCTCTTAACTTTGATAACGGATCCAGTTTCTTATCTAGAAAAAGCAAATAAAATAAATAAATGCAGTAGAGAAATTCAACATCCAAAGAAATAAAGAGTAATATTTTATTCTGTCATCAATATATTCATTTGGAACCAAAAAACAAACACGAGTCCTGCGCATCCAGTATAGGTGTGCACACCCAGGTGCTACCACAACTTATTTGAGGACAGTTAAAGCAGCAAACGTTTTGAGCAGCAGTCCTTTCTCAGTGCTAATGTCCTCTACATTCATTTGGTGTGGATAAAAGGAACACTCCATTCACCATAACAACTTCATCTATATGAAGTTGTTATGGTGTCAGGAGGCTCCCAGGCATAGTCTACATTAAGGGGCTAAACTGTTGTCTAACAGTTTAACCCCAAGGGCTGCCTCCAGCATCAGAACTGTAGATCCTCCAGCAGCATCTGGTTTTGAAATTGAGTTTCAGGAAGCGCAGAGTGCCACCAGACAGAGGCGTCACTGATTTGTAAGAGCAGTCAGTTGATACTCAAAAGATAGATCCCCAGATGTTGTAGAACTAAAACTCCCATGATGCTTTGCTTGCCTTTAGAATGACAAAGCACCATTGAATCTGTGGTTTTAAGACATCGTGGGAACTACCTTTTTGTGCTTTAAGTCAATTAGTAGCCCCATTCATTAAAAAAAACAAAAAAACAAAAACACGCTCGTAGGCCTGGCACCATTGTGTGTTTGGTGGTGTGTATGTGTGGGACTGCTTGTGATATTGCATGCGTGAGGCTGCTTGAGGGGTTGTGTGTTTGGTATGTGGATTGTCAGTGGTGTGTTTGTGTGGGTTGCTTATATTATTTGTATGAGAAGGAGGCTTCTTCTGCAGCTCGGCGTATATCTAGCAGTGTGGGTGGCTTCCCTGGGGTCCAGTTGGGACGAGGCTGGCACTGTGATAGCTGCTGTGGACTGCTCTACTCCAGTGCAGATTCCCATTCACAGTTGCTAATAGGAAGTGATTTGAGACACAATGTGTAAATTTAGGATTGTCCCTCACCACCTGCAATCACCACTCGGTTTGCACTAGCAGGTATCTGAAGTTCCACTGGGACTCATGATAATTCAGCCTTGAGTGCGGTGCATGGAACATGTGCCATAGGTTCCTGATCTCTGATATAGATACTTATCATTACACATAGTTTAGTATTTTTGGATAACCTTTTAAAATAGGTTTCAAAGTATTAAAATATAAAAAAAATATAGTCTCTAAACATAATATCAATTTATCTAAAGATCATAATATTACAAAATCAAAAAATTTGTCATGATATTAAATAACTTTAAACGTTTATCTATATTAATTAATTTGAGAAGCTTATCTATATCTATATATATATATACGTATATGTGTGTCTCAAATACACACATATACATATACACACACACACACACACACACACACACACACACAAATGGACAAAATTATAGGGACATCTGACCAAAACACCAACCTGAACTTGTTTGATATCACATTCTAAATACATAGACATTCATATGTAGTCGCCCCCCCTTGATGGTGGACGAGAAGGCCTGACTCACAATCTCACTCTGAGAGTCTGTTCGATCTCTTCCTGACTCCTGTAAGCCTTTCCTTCTTACTGGTTTATTCACGAACGTGAGAATTCAAAGTGAATTTCAAATCTAAGTAAGAATAGTCAACAATATGCAATTCACTTTGACTTCTCTCTTTAGTGAATACCACTGTCTGTATCCTGGTTTACTGCAAGGAATCCAAACTCAATTAATCTCCATATAGACATGTTTAACATTTTCTGGCTGGTCGAGAGAGAAGTTACAGCAGCTCATTTATGGCATTGGTTGTACTTTTTTACCCTTTTATATGATTATTATTATAATAACAACACGCTCTACAGCTCTGTTTAATAGGGGTTTAGAAACAAGGAAATAATACTTGAGGTATTGCTCTTAAGAAATCATCCGAGAGTGGGTGTTGCAAGGAAGCAGAGGACATGCAATGGTCACAGGAAGGAAAACACAATTATGGCTATAGATAAGTGGTTCCCAACCCATTCCTCAAGTACTCCCTACCAGTCCAGAAATTAGGCATTACCCTGTTGTAGCTAAGGTGTTTTTAGAAAAGAAAACAAATCACTTTAGACACAACAGGGTAATCCCTAATTCCTGGACTGGTAGGGGGTACTTGAGGACTGGGTTGGGAACCCCTGCTATAGATGTCCGTGGATGTGGACAGTAGATAAACATGTATACTCACTTTAAAAAAAAAACATATATATCAGCTTTAAATTGTGATCCACTTATTTTATGTAACTGAGAAATAAAAGTTAAATGTACACATGAGGAATTGTCCAAATCAAGACTGTTATAACTACGTTATAATAATTGTACTGCAACCAGTGCAGATAAGACACTTCTTTCAGACAAAACTATGGCCATTTAATACTATTGCATACTGGAAGGGAAGAGATTTTGCCTATCCCAGAAGAAATGGTTCTTTACATTTAGAACAATAAAGACGTATATTTTTGAGGTTGCAGATTTTTAAACATCTTGATATTTTTGGGAGAAAAATAGAATATTCCAGGATATACTAGGTCAGAGGTAGGCAACCTTCGGCACTCCATCTCCCACAATGCTTTTACAGCCAAAATGCTGGCAAATCATCATAGGTGAGTGCCGAAGGTTGCCTATCTCTGTACTAGGTAATATGTGGTGTAAAAGCTGCCAAGAAGGGTTTTTTGGAGCCAACTTGTTGGCCAACTGCAAAGAAGGATCCCACCCACCACTCCAAATTATGCAAAAACATCAACGTGATTCAATGTTAAAGGAACACTCCAAGCATCATAATCACACCACTGTACTATAGTGCACTCTGGTGCTTGGAAAGTTTCTTGGCGAACATAACATTACTCACCAGTACCCTGGGAACTAGGCAGGTGTCCATAGATCTCACTGTTGTTCATATATAAGCATAAATAAAACAGAAGTGTTGCTTTTGGGCCCTTTTCTTTTACCAATTTCAAGGTTGCTGCCTGCTGTTCTGAGCGATTGCCAAGCTGAAAGAGCTAAAATAGACACGGTTATAGATTTGTTCTGAAGATTAACAAACTGTACTTTATCATGGAAATACGTAGAAATTAGTCCTGTCTGATAAATGTTTCAAATTGGGCTAATTAGCCTCCTGCTTGCTGATTGAATGAGAAATATTTACACATTAAAAGGAACACTTTCAGCACCAGAATCACTGAAGCACACAGAGGTTTTGGTGCCAGGAGTACCCTAGCTTCATCCCAGTGTAATCTGTCAGATCATTTTAGTTTTTGTTGTTTTTGGGACCCACCTGTGCTGCTTCCAGTCACCTGAAGGATCTGGATGTTATTTTGGTCAAAACAAGAACTTTGTTCGGCTAACCAATCAGCTGACACTCTCAGCCAGTGAATAAATGCCTACATCAGCACCTGGCTTCTTCAGCTCGAGAAGACCAGAAACCGTTTGAGCACCCAGTGGGACCCAGGTAACCATCAAACTCTGCTAAAGTGGTATGGCAAATTACAGTGGGATTGTATCAGGGAACTCCTGGCATCATAATCACTACAGGACTGTAGTGGTTATGGTGCTTGGAGTGGTGTTTTAAAGGCGTGTAGACTTTTTTACACTATCATAGTCAGTGGTGTATCCTGGTTTTGTGCTGCCCTAGGCAGGACAAAACTCAGGCGCCCCCTCCCCCCCGTGCCACCCCCACCCAACCTTCTAAAATACACACACACATTCACTGACAGATACGCATACACTAGCTAACAGAAACACACACACACACACACTAACAGACACGCATACACTAGCTAACAAACACACACTCACACTAACAGACACACTCACACTCACTAACAGACACTCACTCACACACACACTAACAGACACACACATACTGACACACACTCACTAACACACTCACTCATTAACAGACACACACACACAGCGAACACACACTAACAGACACACACTCACACACTAACAGACACACACACATACACACTAACAGACACACACACTCACACACTAACAGACACACACACTCACACACTAACAGACATATACACACACTCACTCACATTAACCTATTTTGTTATTTATTTAACCCCCCCCAGCCTCCTTACCTTTGGGAATGCTGGGGGAGGAGGGTTCCCTCTCTCCCTGGGGGTCCAGTGGCTGCTGGACAGCTGGCGAGGGAGCACTTCCTCTGAGCACTCTGCTCAGCTCCCTCGCGCGCCGCAGAGTGAGGCTCGGAGCCGGAATATGACGTCATATTCCGGCTCCTAGCCTCACTCTGCGGCGCGCGAGGGAGCTGAGCAGACAGCTCAGGGGAAGTGCTCCCTCGCCAGCTGCGCGCCCGCCCGCCCGGCATGTCAGTTAGCCGCAAGGCTAACAAGGCATTTGGGGGGCGGCTTTTTTTGCCGCCCCCTGGAAAATGCCGCCCAAGGCAAATGCCTTGTTTGCCTCGCAGTGTTATGCTCTGGGCAATGTTCCCAGTTAGCATAATGGATTTAAAAGATAAATCACGTTAAAAACAGACATAGATATATCCACATTAGAGGATAAATACTTGAGTTGTGATTAAAGAAATCAGCATAGAAAATAGTAAATAGTCTAGTGGTGCCAACAAAATCATACATTTCATCATTTCAAATAGACAAATAAAGAAACTTACATTTTAGGGGGGTGGCCAGTAGCAGGCTGTTTTTGTGCCTTTTATGTGACTTACTATTAAAGGGACACTATAGTCACAAGCACAACTACAGCTTATTGTATTTGTTCTGGTGGATAGAATCAGGATTTGTGCTGTAAACATTGTCTTATCAGAGAAAATGCTGTGTTTACATTATAGCCTAGTGTTGATTCCACTGGCCACTCCTTAGATGACTATCAGAGGTGCTTACTGGCACAGTGCTGCACACTATGCAACACTGACATTCAGTGTCTCCATCATCTGCATAGAGAAAGTGAACTTTCCTCATAGAGATGCATTGATTCAATAAATCTCTATGAGGAGATGCGGATTGGCCAGGGCTGTGTTTGAATTGTACTGGCTCTGCCCCTGATCTGCCACCTTGACAGCCTCAGCTAATCCTATGGTGAAGCACTGTGATTGGCTCACATAATTACTTCTGATGATGTCAGGCATGCAGGCAGGTCAGAGCCAGCAGCAACAGACTTGAATACAAGTAAGATTTTATTATATTCATCAAGGCCAGGGGGGGACAGAGGGGGCTATATGGTGGTTTTAACACTATAGGGTAAGAAATACATATTTGTTTTCCTGACCGTATAGTATTCCTTTAATACTTCATGCAGCTAAATAGCATAATATAATATAGAACAAAAACAATGGTATCTTATCTACACTGACTGATTTCTGAAAACATTTATTGTAGTTTAGACACACATTACTGTGAGTATTATTTCTGTGGAGCTCTGTTATAGACTCAAACAAGTAAGGAGGGACATTGGGACAGAGCAATTTGGCCTAATATGTGGATTGTCCTTCCTAAATATGGACACTTAGAAGGTATGCAAATCCTACTTCTGCCACTAATTCCTTACAAGCCTTACAATCCACGCATCTTTTAGATACTCTAGGATTATACCAGTAGCCAGTGACGTCTTAACAACATTATGGGCCCCCGGGTAAAGCAGTACACTAGGGCCCTGTCTACATAACCACTCACAGGATTTTTTTTTTTAATTATTGATAAAAGTAAGCTTGTATTTATTGGTACCTCCAAGAAATTTAATACATTCATACAATACAAACAAACAGACTGCTGAATACACACACAGACTGCTGAATACACAGAATGCAGAATATGCAAAGGCCACTGTTTACTCACAGGCTGCTGAATACATACACACAGATGTCTGAGTACACACACACAGACTGCTAAATACATACACACAGACCGCTGAGTACACACACAGACTGCTGAATACATGCAGACTGCTGAATACATGTACACAGACTGCTGAACACACACACAGACTGCTGAACACACACAAACAGAACAAAGGATACAGGTAGCTCAAAAATAAATTCAATATTGTAGTAAGTAATCAAAAAAAGTACCAAGTAAAAGATAAAAATGCCCTTTTGAGCTTTTAAAAGTCTTCAAATGTTGAATAAGATGTCTACAGAGTGGTATTATACATCAACGGCATCTGCAAAAGAGAAAATAGGAGACCAATAGGGCAGTATTGTAAGTGAATGGACTATAGACAACATAGAACTAAAAAAATGCCAACTCACGTTTTTCAGAGCTATAACCAGCTCTCAGTAAAACATCTTACAGTGGTATTTAAACTCCCCACATGTAGGATATCCCTCAGACAGTAGTTGTAGTGTAGATTGTATGCAATTAAAGAGAAAGAAGGCCCATAGTGCTCTCCATATATGCAAATATGTAATAGTAAAATGAAATGTACTTACAATTTTGAGAGCAGACAAACCGCTCTATGGTTACAGCATGGGTGGAACAATCCCCACCTACGATACTTTTGATGATGGACCTGACGTGTATGGGTAATAGGTTGCGCCAGGTACAAATAAAATAAAATAAAAACTAAATAAAAGTATAAAAAAGTGCCTCAAAGGAAATAGGTAGTCTAAAAATCTTACTTTTATTTCAACAAATAATAATAAAATTACAACGTGCTTCGCTCATTAGGCTTCTTCAAGTGAAATAAAACAGATACCTGGCAGCTTGGGTTTATATAGGAGACTTAATGACATAAAATGTTTGAATTTTGGCGACAAAATGACGTCACAGGTCATGTGACCGCAGTCACATGACTTTTTAATTTTTTTATTTAAAAAACATGGTTGTGACGTCATTTGGCGCCAAAATGCTCAACATTTATGTTATTAAGTCTCCTATATAAACACAAACTGCCAAGTATCTGTTTTATTTCACTTGAAGAAGCCTAATAGGGAGAAACGCGGTGTGAATTTATTATTATTTGTTTAAATAAAAGTAAGATTTTTATACTTTTATTTAGTTTTTATTTGTACCTGGCGCAACCTATTTCCCATACACATCAGGCCCAGGATCAAAAGTATCCTAGGTGGGGATTGTTCCACCCACGCTGTTACCATAGAGTGGTTTGTCTGCTCTCAAAATTGTAAGTACATTTCATTTTACTATTACATATTTGCATATACGGAGAGCACTATGGGCCTTCTTTCTCTTTAATTGCATACCGTCTGAGGGATATCCTACAAGTGGGGAGTTTAAATACCACTGTAAGCTATTTTATTAAGAGCTAGCTATAGCTCTGAAAAATGTGAGTTGCCAATTTTTAGTTCTATGTTGTCTATAGTCCATAGACTTACAATACTGCATGCACTATTGGTCTCCTATTTTCTCTTTTGCATATGCCGTTAATGTGTGATACCACTCCATAGATATCTTATTCAACATTTGAAGACTTTTAAAACCTTTAAAGGACATTTTTTTTAAAAATTCTTTATTTTTGTAGTGCATAAGCATATAACGGTCGCTTGTGAGGTACCCCAAAGGCATTCCTCTAGCGCATTTTAAACAGTTGAGCATAGAGGTACGTGATGAATCTAGCACATATTTTATATATACGGGTAAGTCGAGATATAAACCGAGTATATTTTAGCTTAATCTCTTCTATAACATATAATGGCACCGTTATGCTATCTAAACATTTGCTGGGTTCGCTGTGCTCTATCTGAGGTCTAGCCTACATGTCACTCTTGTGCAAGTGCATAGTCCTAAGATTAAGATTAATGATGGAGGTGGCATCCGCTTAACATCCTTACGTTTAAGGCACAGTGATTAATTTATCAAGGTATGGGACCAGCTTAGACAACATTGCTTTGCATGCCGTTATTCAGTCATTTGGATGTCTATCTGCTACATGTGAAAATAGATTTAAACGGAGTGCTGCGCCTGAGCGCATAATGTTTAAACATGCTAGGGCTACATAGTATACAAAACTCTTAAGAAATGGCCGAGTAGGGAGGTATAATAGCTAGGAAAAATAACACCTTGGTTATAGACTGCCTGGTGAAAACAAGCCTGATTTGTGGTTGCAGGAGAATAGTCCTTCTTGGGTTTAGTCCGCTTTGATCAGCCGATGCCGGCTCTGGATGCCTGATAGGTAGGACGTGGATAGTGGCAGGGTTGGTGTCTCGGTGAGATATCATCTCCGCTGTGTACTGAGGGGGCTCTCTGTGTGTGTCTGTTGTGTGCAGGAAGCCTTGCTGCATCTCGGCTAGACTCATGGCCCCCATCGTGAGTTCTTGGTTGCCGGGTTGTGCCTTGCCGGTCGGTGGTCTCCGGTGCTGCTGGGTGATGGGTAGGTTGTGTGTGTTCAGCGGTCTCACTCTGATGTGTGGGAGTGTGAGTGTTAGCGCCCGCAAGGCATGTCGCTATTACCCGCCACTTAGATCTCTGGTGTCGTCTCCTTCGGGAGGTCGCTTTGGGGGCTCGCGGTGTATACACACATAGTTGGCGTTGAGTAGCCGGACGGATCCATGTTGCTGCTGCTTGGACCGCCAGCCTGAAGGGCCGGCCCTTGCCTCGGAGCTTTATCCAAAGGTTGGTGCAGAGCAGGTTGAAGAACTCTTGGGTATGCCTGGGTGGGGTGGCATGGGTGCTGTTTGTTGCAGGTTGTGCCTGTGTCGCTATAGTCGTCGATTTTGCTGTGGGGCCTTCTACGCTAGGTTGCGGTTGATTTGGCCACGTGTAGTGAAGCCAGGCATGTCCGCCATTTTGGGCCTCGTTGCTTCTATGCCGCTGGAGTGTTCACCAGCATCTGCTGTGCCGTCTGAGTTTGTGGGCTCTCTCGCTGGCTGGGACCGGGATAACCCCCTCCTGTCCATGGAGGGGGGGAAACGACGTGCGACTGTCCCCTCTTCAGTCTGAGAACAGGAAGAGCGGCCGCCTCTCCACGGCTCCCACCCGTGTATGTTGCAGATTGTAATTTGGATATTTTAGCGGCGGGGAGCCTCGTGTCGGGTATCCCCGGATTCAGCATCCCCTCCTGAGCTTGAGGATAGTTGTCCGCAGCCAGCACGATCCAGTGGTCAGGCGTAATGCCCAGAATCAGGGCTTCAGATGCGGGAGTTCTCGCCATTATTATTTTGGCGCTACCTGTATCCTTTGTTCTGTTTGTTCTATTTATCCTTGAAAGTTTTGACGGTTACCTTCCTATTCAGGTGTGCAGCTCCCTTGTGATCAGTTATTGTAGTGCTGTTCCACCCTTGCTTTTTGTGAACACACACAGACAGACAATGACAGGTGTAGTGTGTGTGAGAGGTGCAGTGTGTGTGAGAGAGGGGTGCTGTATGTGTGAAGGGTGCGCTGTGTGTGTGCACTGTGTGTGTGAGGGGTGCAATGTGTGTGTGAGGTGCTGGGTGTGAGTGAGGTGCTGTGTGTGTGAGGGGTGCTCTGTGTGTTAGGGATGCTCTGTGTGAGGGGTGCCGA